AGCCAGGATCTCAATTTCAGCAGCTTCTTCATGATGTGACACCTCTAGACCCTGAGAGCCCCTCCAGCACATCACCTGTGGCAGGAAGAGATGGATGGGCATAGTCCCTGTGGGGGGACAGCCCTCCTCTGCCCAACCCATGCTGGCCCAGGATCCCAAGTCCCAGGTGCCTCCCACCACCTCTCCCCATATCCCATGAAGTGGCAGGCACTTGGATTTTCTTTTTTCTGTGGCTTTCACACAAGCATCTTCCTGGTACATCATGGCTGGTGTTTGCCCTCTTCTCCCCCAGCCTGGCTGCAGTGGACTCCCTCTTCTCCGCCAGGCCCTCAGGGTTCTCCCGTGAAAACAGCCGGCTCAGCTGGGGAAGCTCTTACCCCTGCAGAGGGAGAGCTGTGCAGAGGCCTGGACACAACTCAGTACACTTGTGCTCTCTTCCTCACGACAATCTTGAGCAAGCTTTTTCCCTGCCTATACCTTCCTTTTTCCCTCTGCCACTTTACATGGGGAGATCTTGGGGTCAAGCCCTGCCCCTCAGCCCATTTATGTCCAACATACCTGACAGCCCAGGCTTCGTCTTGCTCCCTCTGAGCACCAGCATCACAAACCAAATGCCAGCTCTGACACTTGCCCAAAAGCCAAGCATTGGCAACAGCAGGTACCAATAGTAAAACAACGTGACTTCCCAAATTATTCCTCTTGCTGAGACAGGAGAGTCCTTGGGAAACAGAGCTTTTCTCTATGTTTTCATCTATCCCCATCTTTGTACTGCTTCCCAACCGTAGTCAAAAGAAGTCTGTATTGATTGATATTTTTTAATCACTGCTTTGTTATTTTTAGGCGGCTGCAGTCTGAGGGAGACAGACAGTTAACCGCAGCGCTCAGACCAGCGGGTTTGCATTCTTTGCAGGCAATGAGCAAACAAGTTTTCTCAAGCCTGGTTCCTTCCTGCTCAAAAATCAGAGCAGGGACTCCCCGTCTATTTCTGCTCATTTTATTTTCGCTCCAGAAGCAGAGAGGCAAAGGGCAGCTGATCTGAAGGTAAGCACTGAATTTCCAGCCCCAAGGAAGCTCAGGGCGGGTGGGGGGGACACGACACCTTTAACTCACAGAATTTCGGCTGGAGGTTGGGGTGTGATTAAGAGTTCCACAGCTAAGAGCTGCCAGAGCCAGCCCCATGCTTCCCACAGCCAGCTGCAAAAGCAAGAAAATAGAAGGAAGCCAAAAATTAATTTCTGGACTTGGAAAATGAAAGGGGTTTTTTTTTGGTGCTTTTGGGGGAAAAATAAAATCTCTTTGAATGCAATTTTGACTTGAGTAAATGCATAGAATCTGTTTAAAACTCCCAAATTAACCAGGAGTTTCTGGTCAATGGAAAAGAATAGGGGCAAAGAATCTCTGTCCTAATGTTGGGCAAGCACGGACACATCAAACAGAAATCTCCTACTGTAACAAAGGCAAAAAATTAGTAATAATAACAATAATTAAAAAAAAATCGAGGTCCCAGCTAGGCTGACAAACAAAAGATCTGCAAAACCAGACAACCTGGTCTGACTTCAGCAGAAGCTTTTTGCAACAATCTGTAAGCTTTGTGTGCTTTCCTTCTTCCTTTAATATTCGGAACTGGATGATCTTTAAGGTCCCTTCCAACCCAAACCATTTTCTGTTTCTCTGAAATCTGATTTTTCTTCACAAATTAAGACTTTTCCACTTATAAAAATTTCAACCCAGGATATTTGGGTCATTCAACGTTGTATTTCACAAACATTTTTCAGCCAACTGGCTGCCAAAGCTCAGTGTTGCACAAAGAAATCGATGTCACTCAGCCAGTCTGCTTCTGGCAGGAGGGGAAAAAAGATTAATTCAAAAAGTTCCAGCTGTCCCAGGACCCCAGACAGGGCTGGCTTTTTGCTGTAACCCAAACAGTTTTCAGCAAAGCCATTTTCAGTTTGGTCGGTAAATCCACTTGTGTTTTCTACTCTATCTAGTCCAGGACTGCATGTAAGCTGTCCTCAGCAGCAAGGAGGGGCTTGGGCTCTGCACATTGTTTTTAGGGTAGGTTGGTTAACTAGGAACACACCTAACATTGCTGATCTACAGTAGTGGTTAGGTAATGAAAATGGTCCTCTATATGGGTGTTGGTGGGGTCAGAGCCTCCTTTTATTATCAATTATACACGGTACATAGAGAACAGGTATACTTGCCCAGTCTTCCTCCAGCAAATGACAGGTGACTCTCACAGATGTTGCTGCAGGAAAAGCAGCAATAAATATACAACATATGCCCCATAGGTGGAATAATGCAGTCCAAGAAAAGCTGCATGTGGCCTTTACAAGTTACTTGACCAGAAATTGAGGCATGCATGTACTGCAAGGGGCCACACGTGCTGGCCCGTACCCAGGACAAAGCACAACTGCAGGCTCCATTCAAGGCAGGAGTCTCCAGCAAAGACCCTTCAGCCTTTCCCTGGGCCCATTGCTCCACAGAGATAGATCAACTGATCCTGGATGACTCATGTGCTTAACTAATTGGCTAAATGGGGGCCAGACCTCTGGTCCCACTTGCCCACATAGTTTGCTGAGCTGGGACCAAACCCAGACAACCACAGCCCATCCAGCTGGGCTTTGTCTCTTCCAGCTCTGCACAGATGTTTAATACTACACTTACTTTTTCTCCCCCAACCCCACAGATTTTGCCTAGAAAAGCTTAGCACATCCACAGCCATCCCAACATGATTGATAGCTCTTGATCCCTGGCAGTGCTGTGGATGACAGAGGTGTGCATGACCACTCTCTTGCGTTGCCTATGTACCCTCAGCTGCCGATATCACACAGGCTTTCCTCCTCCAGCCCAATTCACTCCGCCTTGGTCTGTATTTCCTAGATACAGACAAACAGTGGTAAAAACATTTCTTCCTAACTCCCATTCCACATTTGGAATTTGCTATATTTCAAGAGAGCAGTAAGGGGGGAAATGACTTTCAAGGCATCTTAATGCAATTTTATTCCTGTTCCCAAATAGGTATAATACGAAAAATTAAATCAGCCTTCAACATGGTATAGATGGCCCCAGGATATGGCTGAGGTGATGTCAGTCTGTGAAACATATCATTATGTGTCATTGTTTCATGTCATTGCTTATTGATTTAATTCCATCATATTTCAGGCAACTTTTATTGTCTACGTACAGATCATCATATTTATAACTGGAAGCACATATGCAGATATCAAAACCACCTCCTGCCACTAAACCAATTTTAAAAATGAATCCAGGAGAAATACTTTAAGAGAAACCCCTTCCAGAAGCAATTGTTCCAGGACAAGGAAGACCAGATGACGGCTATTTTTCTGGTTCCAGTGTTCCATATTTTGTCATCTCACATCAAAATGTCTTTCTTTTCTTTTTGTCTTTTTTTTTTTTTTTTTAAATCAGGAAAGATTGATAAGAAAAGGAGGAAGTCAACAATTTTAAGAACAAGATGTAGCTAAATATTGTATCTAAACACATGCCCTTGGATATGCATTATCATACGTTCGACTTCGCTGAGAAACATTTTGGAATATGAACTGAATAATGTGGATATTATAAAATGGCTGTCTTGGAATTAAATTTTATGATATTGATGTGTCATAATAATAAAATAGAAAACACTTTTAATATCAACAGTGAGCTCTATCATCCTTTTTTTATTATTATTATTTTGTGGTTGGTGCTTTTTCCTACACAGAAACCTTGAAAACAGAAACGTACACTGCAACAAACTGTAAACCATTAAAAACCTGCACACAACGATGCCTCCTGAAGGAGTAAGCCCTAACCCCAGCATTATCTTTGCAGCAGAAGTTGGGCATGTATTAAATAATTACCATAATCAGCACCTAAAAATCTATCTGTAGTATGAAACAGAACCCAAACAAAAGACTTCTGTGAAATTTATCTTGAGAAAAAGAATAGAAGGCATTTTACTTCAGTAGTTTTTGGGAGCTAATCAAGTATATTTCAGATACATCTCAAAAAATATGTGTGTTGTCTGTATTTCCTTATTTTCCTGTGGTTTTTCTTTAATTTTTCTTTCTTTTCTTATTTCTTTTTTGGCGTCTTGTCTCTCCATCACTGGAGGTGTTTCTATGTGTTCACTCACATACTGAATGAGTGAATGAGCCATAAATATTCAGCCCAATCCTGCAGTAACAGATTTGGGTTAAAGCAGGCTATTCATACACACAAGCTCCTCAGCAATGCTGCACGCTAAGAACCCAGCTTCTAGAAGCACTATCAACTGGGTGTCAAAGACTCTGGGCATTTTGTCACACATATCCCACAGGCAGCCTGGATTCAGGGCTTGCGGCTCGCCACCCTTTTCAGTCCTCTCCTCCAACATCCTTTTCCCAGTAATTCCCAGTGGTGGAAGAAATTCAAGGCTGAAGTCAATGCAGCTTCCCTGGCCGTAAGGCTGGGAGATTCCCCAAGGAAACTGAAGGGGGTTTTCCCACCAGTTTTATTTTCCACTGGGTAAGGCTTGCCCAGATGGGAACAATGTCCTTGGGTAAAGCTGAGTGTGAACAGAAAACAGGGTCCCCCAAATAATTCCCTGCAAGTTTGTCTCTAAAATGTACTCTTGCACATTTCTTTATATTCAAATTCCACTTTCCATATAAAGTTTTAAACACAAGTATTTTTAGACCCAACCCAGCCAGGGTGAGACCCCTCTCCAAGATCTTCCTCAAGAAATTATTTAACATGAGTTTAAGGCCAATTCCTGCCACCGCAGCAAGCCTCCCAGAAGGGCTTTGGTTAAAGCACTGCTGGGTAGAAGCATGAAAATATTTAGAGGATCAGGGGTTAAAATACAACAAATTACCTCTGGAGCTTCCAAAGCCGAGTGAACCTGAGCAAAGTCTAACGCTAACTCTATTTTCATTTAACAGAAAATAGCAGGGGCTTCAGCAGTAGTTGTGATACGCTGTCTCCTCGCAGGGAACTAATAGACAGGGAAAAGCAAGGCTTTAAATGATTTATTCAGTACCCTGGAGATTTTTATTTTGATTTTTTTTTCGTTTCCACATAAATTACACAAGCACTTTATAAAATGAGTACACAGAAAACACCTTATTAAGTGCATAACTTAAAAAATCAAACCCAAACAAACGAATGCCTTAAAAAATCTCACTGAAAATAGGTTTTCTGATTGCTTGTTTGTACTAGCTGCTTAAATTGGCAGTGCTGTGTTAGGTTACAAGTAACTGAAAAATATATACTGTATATATATATCTATATATATTCCTGGTATTTGCTATAAGAAGTGCTCTGCTTAATTGTGTCTCATTCCCTCAGTACAATTAAAGAAACAACTAAGTTAAACGGTTGAGAGTGAAATTGATTTTTGCCATCAGGAACTGCCTTCTAAAGGGAAACAGGTAAAATAAAACATTGGACAACATTTTGCAAATGATATGGAAATACTCCATGGAAAGAAACTGCATTACCCCCATAAAACTGCCACCCGGGTCTTCTCGTTATTAAAATACACGCTGATGGGCATAGAGTCCGTGGCAGCTGGGGACAGTTTGGGCTCTTCATACAATTGAGATATCATATTTACCATCCTCAGGAGTCTATCAGATCCTTCTCTTATTCCCCCCTTGCAAGAAAAAAATTAATGAAAAAGGGGAGGAGAGACAGTGAGGTGAGATCCAAAGGGTTCCCATCTGGAGCAAGCAGAAATTGCTGCTGTTTCCTCCATTTGTTGCATCCCCAAACGTCTCCAGTGTGAAAAACCTGAGGAGGCTCATGGCAGAGGCGCTTTCCAGGGAGCCTCTTCCTTTTGTTTCAAGCCATCAGTCCAAAGTATACATATATATATATATATATATACACACTTTATATATATATATATATATATATATACAGATATACAAGGGTGACTCCAGGCTTTGCATTGCCGCTGGCAGAATCCAAAGGAAGTTCTTTCCCAGCTGGGTGAATGCCGGCAGCCGTGTGTCAGAGCTGGTTTTTTGTCTGGCAGCAGTCAGCAAGTTCACGGTCGGCACTGGAGACTTTCAAGAGAACAAAAGGGTTGGGAGGAGGCGAGACACCACTGCTGCTCCAGCAACCCCACAGGCAAGGAGAGTTTTCGGGGTGTTTTCCCTTCCTTTCGGTCCTTGTGGAGGCTTTCCCCAGCTGGACACATGGGATGCACACGAGGCTAGATGACTGCTGGGGACAGCCTTCCCCAGGGAGAAACAGGGATGCCAAGTGTCCCACCAGTGATGCCCCTTGTCCCCCCAGGGACAACCCCACGAACAGAAGGTGCACATGCCACCAGCAGGTGCTAGCCTTACTCGCAAGCAGAAGCGACAGTGGTGACACTGGTGATCTTGGTGGAGTCATCAGACCAAGGCTGGAGGTTCTGGAGAGCAAAGAGAGAGGAATTGTGGACACAGATGGGGTCGGCTTGGATGGGCTGGTTGATGGTTTTTTGGAAGGCCTCCTGCTGCAGCTGCATGAGGATACGGTTTGCTTGCTGCCGCTCAGCCTCCCGCTCCTCTGCTGTCTGCCTCCTAGGAGAGAGGGCGCAGTTAGATGCATCTGGGGGAGCAAAGGAGGAGTATCTCCAGAGAGAATAGGTTGTGCTGGATGCTTAGAGTTGGGGGGGGGGAGGGGGTAGCAAAAGAGGATGCCTAGCCATGGCATAGGCCCACATCCCCACCCCAAACTGCCCGCAAATCCCTTAAACTGGGGGCTTGGGCTGTATCTTACTAGCCCCAGAAAAAATTGCTCTGATCACAGAAAGCCAGGAGCAGCCCACAGTTTTGGTTTGTTTCCCACCCATGGGAAAAACCCAAGCAGAGCCAAAACACCCATGGGAGCACATGATGGGGTTGCAAAAGGTGGGATTCCCTGCAAATGTGCCCTGTGCCCAGCAGTGAGAGCCAAGTGCACAACGTCCTAATGAGGAGCATGGGGCAGGAGCGAGGTGAGACACCACTGACTGGCAGTGCCACGTGGCTGGGAGACAGGCAACATCACCCTGGGTATCCCCTTCCCATCTCCTTTGCTGGGCTGTGGAGACCAGCTGTCAGGAATCTGGATGAAGGCAACAGCATGCCCAAGGCAGGCAGGACAAAAGTCAGCAAAATGTTGGCTAAAGACTAAAAACATATCTCTAGCACTGAGAAGATTCAAAGCCCAGAATAAACTGTCTGAACAGGGTGAAGAAGCTATATTTAAGAATAGGTTGGATATGCATATATCTGGGATGAACCAGCAGAGCTGATCCTGCTGAGGAAGGAATCAGGGCCTGCTTGGGTCCTTTCCAGTGCTGGTAGGGTTCCAGCTCTGGGATCTCTTGGAGCAGGGAATGAGATAGGTAGAAAAGACCTGAACACACCTGAAAATCCCACCCCTCCCTTGCTTGGATAGCAGCAAGGTCATTCTGGAGGCTGCACCCTGTGATTACCTCTGCTTTTAGTGGTGAATATCTCCTGGCACCTTCAGGGATGCTGCTGGGAAAACCCAAGGGCAGCTCACAGTGCCAGTCCCAGGATGATCCCCAAAGCACCCCCTGTCTCTTTCACACACCCCTGGGCTCAGCTGATGCTCTCCCGGCAGCTTCTGTGGATCAGTGACAGGGGAAAAGGCAGCGTTTTAATTTAGCAACTCGGGGGGATGCAAGATGTCTCATCCTCTTTGGCTGTGGGGATTTGAAGTGGCAGCCCTGAGCTCCACAGTGATGTCTCAGAGAGCAGGGCAGCAGGTCCCTGGCTGCCCAGCAGGCAAGTGGGTGAAAGCTGGATGCAGGTGATGGGTCACAAGCCTCCAGGCGTGCAGCCAAGTCTCCCACCCTGGAGCATGTAGCTCAAGGCTCAGTCCCTGCTCTAATCACTATGTCAACATCTCACATCAGACATCCTGGGGAGATGGGGCTCAGAACAGCACCGGCCCTCCCTGCACAGCATCTCTGCCTTGATGAATATTTAATGACTCCCTGCACAATGAAGAGGTGTTCCAGGAGGAGAGCGAGAGCCCCACATCCAGAGCAGTCAGGAACACGATGGCTGAGAGCACCCAGGCTCCCAAATATCTCCCTGCTCTAAGCAACTGGTAAATCCATGCGTCATGTCAGGCTGTGATCTGTAAGTTCAGATCTGCCTGGAAGGAATTAAACCTTGATGCCCGTGTCTCAATCAAGAGCCCAAATCTAAGGAGGGGATGACACAGCCCACTTACTCCAGCAGAGACACCTGGGCAAGGGGCAGAGGCAAGACTCTTCCCCTCAGCCTGCATTTACTTAAACAGTTAAATCCCTCAGAGGCCTTAGAGCAACTCTTTTCTCAGATACTCCCTCCTGCACAGCTCAGACTGTGCCTGCAAGTGGCTCCTGCCAGCACCCAGCACTCCAGGCACTGCTCACTGCCCTGTGCACGGGCCCAGAGCAGTGAGCTGGGTATCCTATTAGCCAGGGGCACCCAAATCTCCATCACAACACCCAACGTACATTGATGCAAACAAGAAGAGCTTACAAGTTTGCACCCCTCAGGCTCAGGCCAGTGAGGATTCTCCCATGTCTAAGACTTCAGCTGAGGTCAGGCTGCAGCCTTTCCCTTAGGCAGAACCAGGAGTTTTGTTTCTCTTTCCCCAGCTATTTTTTATGGAATAGATGAATAGCTTTGTATCCTTTTCTTCTCTGCCAAAGGGGGCCGAACTTAGCCAACAAATGCAAGGAGTATTGACAGATGGATTTGCCTCACTTCCTTAGGAAACCAGGTTAGAAGACATAGCTGACCCTGTTTTGCAGGCCATGGCAGTTCCTTCTCCAGGACTCTGCTCCTGGCCAACAGAGATCACTCCAGCTAGAGACTTCCTGGCACCTGGGGAGTTGCTCTTCCATGCTGTTTAGGGAAGGAATCGCTGAGGGGGGAGATTCACCCACACTCTTGGTTTCAAGTTCTTTGAACCTCATTTCTTATCCAACCTCAGCATCCTCGGGCACTCTCTGTCCCATTCACTCTCAGGGAGGCCCTGGGGAAGTCCTTTTCCCTGCCTTGAAGAAGCTACTGCCTGCCTAGACCCAGCACCCATCAACACTCCCCTGAGCTGCGGGGAGCTGCCCCTTGCCCAGCTCCCCCTCAGGGTGTCTGCCCCCGGCCCGGAGCAGGGGATGTTCCGAGGACAAAGGGTGCTTTCCCTGGGGACACCCCGGGAAGCCGCAGCCTGGGAGGGTCAGGGTCACGGCGGTGGAGCCCGGCCTCCTTTTCCTCTCTCGCCCGACTTTACCGACACGCCCGGCAGGGGAACAAAAAGAAAACATTTTGGCAAGGAGGTGCCCTAAAGCCCGCGGGGGTGAAAAACCTCCTCGTGATGCACAGCCCGGTATCCCGGCAGCCCCGGGTGCAGGATGCGGCCCACGCCGGGTGCGGCCCTGCCCCGGCGCCGGGGGTCCCGGTCCCACCCCTCCCCGGGACGGCGCGGCTCGGCCGCCGATCCGCGCTCCGTCCGCCGCCGGGCCGGGGCTCCCACATGCTACCGCTGGGGAAAGAGGCGTCGGGTGCCCCCCGGTACCACTGACCGCACCCGCCGCACAGCACCCTCACACATGAATCCCGCATACGTGTGTATGCACACATACATTCAGCCTCGTTGTATGCATGCGAATCTGCTTGCGCGTAGACCCTGTGTGCTCACATATAGTACACACGGAGTGCACACAGCCTGCACGCACATCACACACGCATCCCCATGCAGGTGTCTGGTTTGCACGCACACCTCCAGCACCCACACCCACACATGTGGGGGCACATGGCCTTCACACAAAAGCATCCCCACACAAGCTGTGCAGTGACACATGCATGCCCTGCTTGGACACAACCACTCAGGAGCGCACATGCTCACACATGCTACACACACACACATGCACAGGCATGTGCATATATGGCCTACGCACACATACACATTCATGCCCACAGGCACACACGTGGCTGTGCATGTACACATGCATTTGAATGTGTGTGTATGCTCAAATTCACATTCACACACGTGTGACACCCACCCAATGCACTCACACGGCTAGTACCCCCATGTGAAGCCACCAAGGCAGCTGGCAGCAGGCCTGCTGCCCCAAAGCTGCCTCCCCAGCTCCTCACCTCCACTTGGTGCGTCGGTTCTGGAACCAGGTCTTCACCTGGGCATCAGTCATCTTGAGGGCCTTGGCCAGGGCAGCGCGTTCAGCCGAGGCCAGGTACTTCTGCCGGTGGAAACGCTTTTCCAACTCGCAGATCTGCAGGCGGGTGAAGGAGGTGCGCGGCTTCTTCTTCTTGGGGGGCGTGCGGTTCTGGTAGGGGTGACCTATACGGCGTGTTACAGTGAAGGGTGAGAGGGCCACTGGGGGGGACACGGGAGGAGGGGGGATGAGAGGCAAAGAAGCAAGCAGCGACATATCAGCAGAGGGGCTCCGGCTCCCGGGCGCTGGGCTGGGCACCCCCCCGCTGCGAAGCCGCCGCTTCCCCGCCAACACTGCGCACGGACTCTAAAACGGCGGCGGTCCCGGCGCCTTCCCTGGGTGCTGCGGGCACCCGCCGGGCACCGCTCGATTTTGGTGGAGGGGAAGGCGGCCGCTTGCCCGGTGAAGTGCCCGGAGGGGGGTGGTAGAAGCGGCAGCCGGTGCTAGCGCCGCTCCGGAGCTCTGCTCTTCGTGGGAACGGGGCTTGGTTTAATTTCGTTTGGGCAACTTCACCGTGCTCGCCCCAGCGTTTCGTGCGCGGGAAATAACTTCCCTGGCTAGAAATGGGAGTTGCAATCTTTGTTTGGTTAGGGTTTTAATGTCATTTTTCTATTGTTTCTCTTTTCTTTTTTTTTTTTTTTTTTTTTTATTTTTTTCCCCACTAGAAAAAAATAATTGGCAGAAAAACTCTCGGCCGGGACGGGAAGAAGCTCCGAGAAGTCCAACCCGGTGCCTACCGGGGGAATGGCCCGTCGGTTCGCCCGCGGCCGTGCCAGAGCCGAGCACCTTCGGTTCGAAATTAAACGTGAACTTCTAAAAATCGGCCCTCGCTTTCCGCGCCGGGAAGAGGGGCCAGTGCGGGCCCTGCAGGAGCGGAGGTCGATTCTTTTCCCCATTGCAATTTCGCTGCTTTTTTTTTTTGTTTGTTTTATTTTCGTTGCTTCGAGGTTTTGCTTTATTAGCGCCGAAGGACGAGCCCAGGTACACCTGGAAAAGGCGCCGGGTCTGGAAAGCGGCTCCAGTCCGAGCCCCGCTCTGCTAGGGACTGAAAAAAAGTCCCTTGTGTGGGGGGAAAAGCTGACCCGAAACTCGCAGCCGAGATTAACAAGCCGTGTTACAGTACTCAAGGGAAAAAGAGCTCTGCGGGCAATCGGCAACGGGCCGGCCTTCCCGTGCGGGCGAGGGTCTCCCTTCCCGCCGGGCCGGGCTCTGACTCCGAAATAACCCGCTCTTTGAAAATAAACTTTCCCCGGGCTTTGGGTCGGGAGCGGGCAGCCGTGCCCGGGGCTGTGGGAGGTGTGCGAAATTTGCCATCCCGTTTCCTCCCTCCTCGCCTTTACCGAGCAGCATCCCGGGGAAAAAACAAGAAAACCAAACCAAACCAAACCCACCACTAAAGGACGAACAACAAAAATCAAATCAAAACAAAAAAAAAAGTAAAATAATTTTAAAATTATAATAAAATGCACTTAGGAGGGACTGAATGCGCCCGCTTGTCCACCTCGTCATGCTCCTGGTCTCCTCCGGGATCGACTTCTCAGGGCAAGCCAGGCCTCCGCCTGAATCTCCCCACCCGGGGCCAGATCCTATCTCTCCGGTGGGCACTGGCTGCCGCGCCGAGCCGGGCGGCGGGAAAGGGAGCGGGGCGGCAGGAGCAGGAAGGGAAGGGGGGTCCCGGTGTCCCGACTCACCTGTGAATCTGTCTTTTGTGTACCGCCTGTTGCTCTCCATCCAAGGGAAGGTGAGCCCCGTGATACTGTTCATGCCGTTCACCGCCGGTACAGCGGCGGAGAGGGGCTGGTGCACGCCGCTGGCCACAGGGCGATGGGCCGGGACGCGGATCACCCCCCCGGCTGAGCTCAAGGTGTTGCCGTTCATGCTCACCGCCATGTTCACGTTGTAGGAGCCGGGCAGGCCGCCCATGCTGCAGGAGGTACCGGTGTAGGCGCCGGCCGCACCGCCGCTCGCCCCGTAGCCACCCGTGACCGTGTTGTAGGCGCTGCCCACGATGCAGCCCAACCCGTAGTCCGCCGAGTCCTGCAGCCGCGGGTGCGATACCATGCAGCTGCCTGGCTCCGACGTGTTGAGGATCTGGTCGATGCCGAAGCTGATGGGCTCGGCTTGGCCTTGGTGCAGGTGGTGAGCCCCGAGGTGCTCCATGCCGCCGGACGGGAGCCGCCGCCCGGCCCCGGCAGCGGAGCCGCGTACAACGCCCCGGGGCACCGGGGCCGGACCTCCGCCCCGGGCCGGGCAGCACAGCTCCTCACCGCCCCTAAACACGGCAACGGAGCCGCGTACAACCCGGACACACCGGCTACACGCTCAGTCCCATAGCACAGCGTTCGCTCACCCCAAGAACCAGCAGCAAAGCCACACACTGCCAGGACACGGCAGCCACACGCTCAGCCCACAGAGCCAGCAGCAGAGCCATGCGCAACTGGGGCACGGGAGCTGCACAGCCCCGCAGCCCAGGACACGACAGTCGTGCCCCGCAGGGGCTCGGGAGCTGCACACTCGAGACACAACCGAGACGTCCCCCACGTCCCCACGGGACCAAAAGCCTCCGGGAGCAGGGACGCAACACCCCACCCGCTCCGATGAGTCCCAGCACCCCACCGCCACCAAGACGCCACCACCCCAAGCCAAGAGTCGCTCACCCAAGCCACACACACACAGACCCACACCCCCACGAAGGTGCCCCGGAGACCCCTCGCCGCCGCGGGCGGTGGGGAGCCGGGAGCCCCGCGGAGAGGAGCAGAGCGGAGCGCGGCGGAGTGCGAGTGTGAGCGCCCCGCTTGCCCATCAATCACGCTACCCAAGGCCTACTGCTCCCGGGCCCTCACTCTCCATTGGCTGGATGCTGAAAGGAGCCGAGTGAATGACAGCAGAGAAGAGCACACGAGAAAAGGAGTTTCTTCTTCCCCAGCTTCCCCCCCACCTCGAAAAAAAAAAAATCACCACTCTTTCGGCCTTATAAAGTCAGCGCAGCGTACTGGGGTGGGGAAAGAAGTAGCAGGTACTCGGTGGCAGAAGAAGGGAACGTTTTATCCCAGAGTTTATGGTTGTGGGCTGCTGGGTAAGGGGATCCAAGCTGTCAGCCCCCGTGGCGGGGGGATGATGCCCTGGGCCGCGATCACCGTGAGCTGCCAACTGACCCCGTGTGAGGGGCTGAAGCCGGAGGATCCGTTCCTAGAGGGGTTCCAGACCCAACTGGCCCCTTTTCTCCGGGGGGGTGTTCTCAATTTGAAGTCAGCACTTCTCAAAAAGCCGCGGAGGAAGGGGGTGGGGGTCTCCTCCATCTCCAGTAGCCAGAACGGGGACATGGGAGCTGCCAGGAAAACCCCCACGAGTGCCAGGCCTGTGGAGGGGATACCATGGAAAGAGGCGATGGCCACGGGGCACACCTCCCACCGGGGAGCTGGGGGAGCTCATTCCCTCGGGCAGAGCGCCGGCCGCAGCTGCTCTCCCCCCGGGGCAGCGGCGGGGCGAGGACTGAGCGGGGCACTCGCTGCTGCCGGGACCGCCGCCGAGCCTGCCCGTGGGCGACGAGAGTTTTCGTTAAAAACGTGAAGTCTAAACAACGGAATAAATAAACACATGAAAAAATCGAAAGCCTTGGCTGTAATTTGCTGCAAAATGTATTTGGGCCTGCCCGTCTGTGCTCCCGCTCCGCGCCGCCGGGGATAGGGAAGTTGGGGCAGAGCCGCTGGTGGGGCGGGGACACTGTCGGTTCCTGCCCCGTGCTGCTGCCTCCCGACTCTGCCCAGTGTGGCCCGACTGTCCCGGTCGAGAGTTTCCCCGCTGGTTTGTGCTTTGCTCGCAATGGTCAGCCTGCTCCGTTCCCCCGTTCCTCCGAGCAGCCCATCCTCCCTGCCAGGACAACCGCTGCCCTCTGTGCCTTCAGCGTGCTGGTTGGTCAATGGCCGAGGGAGTGCCGTGGAGGTCCCAGTGCAATACAAGTGCACTGGCGTAGAAAGCCGTGCCGTGCACTCCCTTACACCTCCTCAATCACAGACATATACAGACTATCCCATGCACATCCTCAAGCACATACCCACCCACACGGCCTTGCAGACACCCTCTCTAAGATGCACAAAAACACCCACATGAGCTCAAAGGCTGCCACGCAGTCACACACATTCACTTGCACACACCTGCATTTGTGCACACTTATTCCGTGCCTCCCGTTCTCACAGATACAATCTTTCCTCCGCTCACACAAATTCACACACACACGCGTTCTCGCTCACACCTTCACAACCGTATGCATTCACACACGCACATTCGCTCCCACAATATCCATTAATGACCGCTATACCTGTGCAGTCAGATACACACAGACACACCAGTGCTTGTGGTGCCACCCTCACTCCACCATTATCAGCGCACCCACGACCAGGGCCCCACACCAGGGAGGCTGTAGAGGTGCAGTGGGCAGCAGCAGCTCACGGCTGCCCCTCAGCCCCATGCCCAGCCGGTGCCCGGTGCTCTGCCGGCCCTCTCCCCACCACAGCCCAGCCCTGCCTGGCCGCCAGGGTCGGGTTTCCCCCCCTCCCCGTACCTGCCTCAGTTCTTGACTTCTGAACTCTTCAGGGAACTCGCTGGCGCCAGCTCCATCAACCAAAGTCCTTGTGGTTAGGAGGAGCTGGGAGGGGAGGGAGGGAGCGAGGGCTGGGGCTAGCAGAGCAGGGAGGCTGCCCTCGGGCAGGGGCCTTCTCAGGCCCCAGGGCTGCAGCTGCCTTTGCACTTCTCCAGGACCAGCCTGGGGTTCTCCAACCCTCTCCCATACGGGGAATATGGGGCAGAGCCCTCTCACCAGCCCTGAGCGTGTCAGCTTTCTCCACAGAGAAGTGGCAAAGCACACCATGCCATCCCTGTGCAGTGCCAGAGCCCCCTGCCCATGAGCTCTGAGAGCCAGAGGGACACAGCTCTGCTGCCGAGACCCAGGAGGTGCCTTCTCTCCAGTAAGTAACACATCTGTCTGATGCTCCTTGCACATCCCAAAGGCCCCAGTCGATGCTGGGCAAAGACTTCGGCCTTCCCTGTGCTAGAGATCCCCCAAACTGAGCAGATGCTGAGGGCCCCAGAGGGACTGGCCCCAAGAAATCACAAGGTCACCACCACTGAGCCAGACTGCCTAATGAGGGTGACAGCCCCCAGCTGCTGAGCCCAAAGTAGGGGCTTTCTGGCATTAAAACCTCCCAGGAGACAGACTACAGGTAAGTTCAATCTTTCCCTGCCCAGCACCCAGCAGGGACAAAAGAAAAAGGCAGGAAGGGCCCAACTGGGATTCATGACTTCTGGAAGTCAATGGGAATTATGGATGTTTTTTGGGGATGATGCAGAGCCCCAGGATTTAATCTCTGCACAAGCCACAGACCTCACATGCAGCCTTGGGAAAGCCACATAGCTCCTGCTGCTGGAATTTTGGACGGTGCACATCTAAGCTCCAGGACAACACCTGGTTCAGATACTCCAGTTCAAATTGCTCCTGATTTGTTTCCTCTTGGGCTGTCAAGGGCTGGGGCTTGAGCAGTGCTTTCTTATGAGAACTGGCAATTAATTTATATCCTATACATACAGCTCCCCAATTCTGGGGCTAAAGAGAACTTTAGTCCTCTAAGAGGATGTGCAGTGCTGCACCAAGACATGTGAGGGGCAGTCTTGGTGCTTTCAGGTTCCCATCCCAATGGGAAAGTTTATAAGGGTCAGCACACACTTCAAAGTGCATCCAACAATCCTACAAATGAATCCCTGGGGTGGGAGTCAAAGGCCCCCCAGTCCAGCCCACTGTGCCTGGCTGCTGCTTGGAGGAAGATCCCCAGCCAGCATCCTCCCACCTGCTAGGGGCTGGATTTGTTGATGTTTGCTAGGACTCCAATATCAGACCCTGCAGAAAAATAATTCAGGGATCGTACTCTACACCGAGCTCAGGGAGACAGGCATTCTCAGATGTTTGCTATTTAGGTAGTGGGGTTTCTTTTCTAGCCAGAGGGGGAGAAATCCCTTTTTACAGGAAACATCAGGAAGCTGGATCAGACCTCTTTGGAGGTGGAAGGAAGGCTCCAATGCAGGAGCTGACACAGGCACTAAGTTGCTGCAAAATCAGTACACTGAGAAGCCCAATGCCCTTGGTCTCTACTTCTCCAAGAGCATCTCGCCCCCTTTAAGCACCTACAGCCACTGACATATTCCTATCACTGCCCCATTGCCCCCCTTCACCTGCCCGGAGCAAGTGCTGGGACAGGCTCTTTTCCAAAGCTATGGTTCAATCCTGCCCAAACTGAGGGTTGCGGGCTTGGTATATCCATGCTAGGAGATGGAAATAGAGACGAGGGCCCTTTCCGTGCTGCAGAAGGCTCCCCTCTCCCTCCTGATGAGGGCCTGGGGATCCTTTCTCAGGTTCTCTCATTGATCGAGTGCATCTGCCTCCTGACAGGGGAGAGGGGCAGCCCAACCAGGGCCTGACCTCCACCCTCCTTTTCTCCTGCCTTTCTGTCTTCCCAAGGCTTCCCTTAGCCTTAGCGCTGAGCTGAGCTCCCCTGCAGCTGGGGGCTCCTGGGAGCTCGGCATCGCAAGCTGCCTCCCTGCCTCGCAGCTGCCGGCCGGGAGCCTGCTGCGAAATACAAGCCTTCCTGCAGGGACCGGGGACAAAAGTGACGTGTCTGGGACCTTGGCAAGGTCCCAGGGAAACGCACTGGGCTCGCTTCAAAACCTGTGCTTCGAGCAGTGCTTTCTGGAACCTGCAAAATCCTCCCGTTTTCCTAAAAGGAGAGTGAGCGTCTCCGCCTCAGGCAGGTACCTGATGACAAACCCACCCCTACCGCCCCAGCAGAAGGGTGCACCCCGGCTCCTTGCCTTCCTCTCTTCTTAATTTGTTTAAATGGTTGGGCTGGGGGAACCCTTCCGCACGTCCATCACCTCCCGCAGCTCTTTCTCTCCCGTCCCAACCCCTGTAAATCAATCACGGCGGAGGAGCTGGTTCCCGTGCGGGGCCCGTCCCCGCTGCCATCGGGACTCTACCACTCAGCTCTGCCGCCCTGAGTTATGTGGCAAATGTCGCGACAGACGATGACAGTCAAGCAACGCGACCACCGCATCAAGTCGCCGGCCTCCCGCGGCAGTGCGGGCTTCCCAAAGTGAAATCTCGTTTCCCGCCGGTCCCATCGAGAGCCACCCGTTAGGGACGGTCCCCAAAGCCCCCGCTCCATCGGCGGCGGCTTTTCCCCTGCTCCGTGTCCGCGGGAGGGGCGGCCCGAGCTTCCTGCGCATTAAAAGCGATTAACACCATTTGGGGAATTTTTAATTGCTCTATAAAGCACGCCGTAAATAATTACTCCCCGCTCTGTTGATCCCTCGAATACGCACTGACAGTTGTAATTTATGGCTTTGGAAACGTGGCCCCTAGTATTCAGCATAACTCCTTATTACAGTAATGACTTAGCGCCGCTGCACTTAATGAGTATAAAGTGCCCGGCGCAGCGGGAGCCGCAGCATCGCACGAACTTCGCCCGTAACAATATTTCTCCCCTTTATGGTTACAAACGACTGAGGGGCTACGAGTTAATACAGCGAGGAAAGAGCGGCGGGACCCTGGGAATGGAGCAGGGCCCGGGAGGGGAGCGCAGCCGTTTTCGCGCTCGGTCAACGACATCTCCGGGGGGTAGCTGTTATCCACCTAAAATATTTAGAACGGTCCGCAAACTTCCTCCTCGCCTCCCTGTAGCCGCTGACTGCCTGGAGAAAATGGATTAGGGAGGTGGAAGAGAGCGGTCACAACTCATCGCACCTAAGGGCCCACGCGAAGCGGATGCCGCGGAGTCCCGAAGGGCAGGTCGACCTGCTTCCCAGAATCTCTCTCGGTTTTCTCCGTACTTCCCGCTGCCCAGGGACCGACCGGCTCCATGCAACAGGCCGGGGAGCT